ATATATGGAGATGGTACAATTAGGCCAACTTAATATTGGGCTCCAAGAACTTGGAAATAAGGACATCCCTTATTTAATATAAAAAACTATTTACATTAATCAACCAGTATATTATTTAGCCAAAACTAGACTTTTGGTTTACACTACTACGCCTTTTTACACATGGCATAAAAATATTTAACTGATTTCTTAACCGTTCCCACCTCTTTAAAATAGTTGTTACATTAATTTAATATTTTATTATTAAGTAAAACTTGAATATTGATTTCCATTTTTATACTCAATAACAGTTATTATTTTTTTATTTTGTTTTTATATATATATATTTTTTAATTCTTATTTATCCCCTGCCAACCCATGAATTCCTTACATATTAGTTTGTTAATGCAATTACAATCGTTTGATAAAAAAAAAAAAGATTGTGTATTGAATTTCCAGATTCTCCATTGAATCATTGACTATTGGATTTAACCAGTTAACCGTCAAACCGGACCGTCCAATGCGGTCCGAATTGTGGTCGGTTAAAAAATAATACCGGTCCGGTTATGGACAAGAAAAAAAATTAACCGTTAGGTCCGGTTTGGTCACGGTTTGGGCTAAAACCAGACCAATCCGGACCGTGAACACCCCTAGTCCGTATGCCTGCGGGAGCAGGCTGGGGGGTCAACCGGTCAATGCTGATCAACAGCCCCTGTCGGCCGGTCTATGCCGTTAAATTATTTTATTTATTATATAATTAATTAAAATATTATTATTATTATTATTATTAAAAAGAATTCTAATTGATTTATATGAGTCATTGATCTACCATAAGTCAAGAATTGAGTCTCATGTACACATATTAAGAAGCCGACTCAATGGATCTACCCCATATTTATCTATAATCCGCTAAATAATATGAATTGCCAAAAGAGTAAATGAATTGAGTCTCATGTACTCATATTAAGAAGTCGACTCAATGGATCCACCCCATATTTACCTATAATCCGCTAAATAATATGAATTGCCAAAAGAGTAAATTATGTAGTTGTATTTTCAACGACTTTTTTTTTTCTTTGAAAATGAAAAGTATAATTTCTTTTCATAATCTTTATTTATTTTTAGAAAAGAACCAGACATATTATTCCTTTCTTTTATATGTAAACTAATAAATGGATAAATAAAACTAACTACTTTTACATAAACTTTATTTTTATTTAACTATTAAAGAAATTATTTTAATTGGATAAGTTCGAAATGATAATTTAACAGATAGTCTTTCTAGTTACTATGCAAATAATTAACTCTAGAATAAAACTATAATCTTTTGTTTTTTGAAACGATAGAGAGATCTATAAAAAAACACAATCAAGAAGAAAGTTCAAATACAACGAGAAATTCCCCACACCAACCGAACACACGAAAGACAAATTAGGAGAAAACGCCAAAGGCAGTCTAGAAACACTAAAACTACGTAGCTAAGGCAGAAAACATCTGAGACTTTAGTCTACACTGAAACTAAAAGCACCACCTAGCCAAGCGAAGGACACCTCTAGCCACTGTTACACAGATCTAGCTAAAGTGCCCACCTCCGCACAACAACTAAGACAAGAAAATGAACACACACCAAAGCAAAGAGACAAAACACACTACTAGAAACCAAACAAATCAACACTTAACCCCACAGAACTCACACCATTCCCTCACTGCCTCTTTGACCACCTCATGATCTAGAATTTTCTCCTTTTAAGAAAGCCACAAGTTTCGAGATTTTCAAAGCCACCACAACAAGTATGTAATCAATTATGGTTCAGAATCCTCAGAATAGTCTATAGAGCAGACATGCCACCATCAGTTCTTGAAGGAATCGTCATCTGTTCTAATTCCATCCTAGCTTAGAGGTCCAATACCCCACAACCTTTTAGCTTTGTTGCAATGGAAAAACACATGTTCATTGTTTCAGAAGCTTCCCCATAACTTTGGCAAAGAATATAAACCTCTACTCATCTCTTCCTCAAGTTGAGCTTCATATGTAAGGTGCCAGTGAAGCATTTCCATAAGAAGTTCTTCAATATCCCTTTCACTTTGAAGTTCCAACTCCTAGTCCTAACCAGTCAGTCTTGTTTTGTAGAAATGCTGCCTTCTGGTAAGTCTAAACTCTGTATTTTTTTTTCAATCAAACGAGCATATGAAGCTGCAACTGAGAACTGCCCTTTCTTGTCCAATCCCCATTTGCACTTATCCTCTTGATTAGGATTCAAAGTATTTATATGTAATATTGACTTACTGTCAGCCTCATCAAAAACCTGTTTAATCAACCAATCATTCCATTGAGCCCCACTATGAATAATTATGTCCTTCACCCAAATCAAATGTCTTCTGGCTATCTCAATCAGGTCAAGCTTTTGCTTTGACAATGTAGGCTCCCAGTTAATATCCTCAATTTTGGTTGACATTCAATTTCTGATTTCCACTCTCAGCCTCTAGCAAACAAATGTTGAGTATCCAGCTAACTATTCCATAACCAAGAAGAACTAGGCTTTTTGTTAGCCTCAATGAAAGATGAAGTAGGGAAGTACCTGCGTTTTTATATTCTCCTCACCACGAGATCAGGTTGAGTTGTAATTCTTCATAACTTCTTGCAGATCATAGACTCATTAAAAAGTCTTACATCTTGGAATCCCATTCCTCCTTTGCATTTTGGTAGCGTCATTAGGATCCAAGCCTTCCAATGAATATCTCTCTGATGTTCTTCTCCCCTACTCCAAAAGAACTGTGCACACAAAATGAAAATATCTTTGCATAAAGAGACATGTAGTTTGAAACAAGACATGGCAAAGGCAGAAAAAAAAAAAAAAAATAAGTATTTTCTTTTATTAGTACTTTCTTACCTGCTAATGAAAGCAACCTGTTTTCCAGCTTTGCAAATTTGATTTTACTGTCTCCAAAATGTAATCAAAGGTCTTCTTCTTAGATCATTTTATGCCAAAAGGAAGACCCAATTACCTTGAGGATTTCTGAACTTTGATCCCATGCTAAACCTCACATATTTTTCTTTGATTAATGTGAAATGGTGTATTTCTGTTGAGGAAAATAGTTGATTTCTCCAAATTTTCTTTTATGGCCAGTGAACAATCTATATCTCTCTAGTAAATTAAGCAACATCAGGGCCTGACCAACTCCAGCTATACAAAATAATAAGGCATCATCTGCAAAATAGTGGGTGGGATATAAGATGACCCTCTCTAGATAGCCTTACACCTTTCAGCTGTCCCTATCATAGGCAGAAGTAATCAAGTCAGACAGAAGTTCAGAGACAACTAAGAAAAGATAAGGAGATAATGGATCCCCTACCTTAAGGCTCTTGAAGGATTAACCAAACCACACAACCTCTCTTTAAGATTAAAAGACAAGGTTGCTCAGGATATGAACACCATGATTAGTTTCACAAAAATCAAACTAAAGCCCATTTGACGCATTATCTTCAGAATGATTGGTTGATAGTTAGTGCGATTTTGAGTTTATATTAATATAAACATTTAAAATAAAACAAATAAAGTAGATTTGATGAAAAATTATGAGAGAGAGGATGTGAAGTGATGATTAGTAAAACAATTATGTGAGTGGATGAATAATGAATTAAAATTACATCAAATAAAACAAATAAAGTAGATTTGATGAAAAATTATGAGAGAGAGGATGTGAAGTGATGATTAGTAAAACAATTATGTGAGTGGATGAATAATGAATTAAAATTGATGTAATGTGTAAGAATGATTGATTGATATTATTAAATTATATTGATAATAGGACAGTTAAAATTGAGTTGGAAATAGTTAAATTTTTTTAGAAATCTTGTTTCCAAGCATGGTCTAAGTATCTCACACAAGGAGAAACGGGACACCTACAACAAATTGAAGGATAGCCCGTTTTGGAGCATAAACCCAACAATGAAGTGCTACATAGTTACTCATAATTGCAATTGGACAAACATTTAGAGCATATAAAACATTTATGCTCATAATTGCAATTGGACAAACATTTAGAGCATAAAAAAAACTTTAAATGGGAATAAAACATACATGACACCATGATCGGTGGAAATAACATTCAAGTCAAATTTCCCAATTCAATTAAAAGTAAGTCACACCTAACCAAAATTTGAAAATTTTTGTAACCTCGCCAGTTTAAGATTCTATAAATTCGTTGCATCGTGATCGGTTTTATGAGATCACTTCAATACTCGGATAAAATTAGTATATATTCTCCCAAGCCTAAACTAGGCCACAAAAAGTAAATAAAGTGATGGAGAAGAAGTTGTATGTTGTGGTCTTGCTGCTTCTACTTCTCGTAGTTGGTAAGATTTCTTCTCCTTGCAATCGTTTTGAAAATTATTTCCAAATAATTCTCTTGAATTTACAGTTTTTATTTTATTTTTATTTTTTTAAGCAACATTGTATTAATACAAGTTGGGTCTGTATAAAGAAATACTACCCACACATAATATTCGTCATCAAAGATAATCACTGCTTTTTTTAAATTATTTTTTAAACAAAAAAGATACAGTACGCTAGTAAAAAAATATATGTTAATTCGGGTCCTATCAAATTTCATAGATCAAGTTGTCAAAGATACATTCATGTGGTTGGATAAATTTTTACATGCTATTTATATGTTTGTTTTTTGTTGAGTTGGCAATTACGTGGCACAAATTTAACAAAAAGAATTTGGATTTTTTTTTTTTCAAAAATTGCTCTTCTCTTTCGGCAACATTGTGAAATCATACGACGTCCTCTTTAGCCGGATGACCTACCATTAGACTTGTTTCGTGAAAGAAAAAGAAGCAAATCACAGTGCACAAGAAACGAGAGCAGCTACATGTTTGCCCAAAGTGAGTGAACATTCATTGCATTAGCTAGGGTTTTACAGTTGCTATTTAAATGAAACAAATTGTACTCAACTCTCATCCTCACTGTACATTTACTTGTTCCTCACTCTTGACTTGTCTAACATGCCCCCTCAATTCGATCGTGCTCAAGGAAACCACATTTAGTTTGTCTCTGAGGCGAGAGAAGAATTGAAGGCTAAGAGGCTTTGTTAAGATGTCGGCCACTTGATCATGTGAAGGAACATGATTAATGCTAATGCTCTTTACTTCAACCTTATCCCTAACAAAATGAATATCAAGCTCTATATGCTTTGTCCTAGCATGCAACACTGGATTTTTGGCAAGATAGATTGTACTCAAGTTGTCTACCCAAACTGTAGGAGCTGCTGTGCTTTTAATTCCAAGTTCACTCATAAGAGACTGCAACCAACTGATTTCTGCCACATTGTGAGCAAGGCTTCTATACTCTGACTCAGTACTTGATCTAGACACTGAGTTTTGCTTTTTAGCAGACCAAGAAATCAAGCTGTCACCAAGATAAACACAAGATCCTGTCATGGACTTTCTATCATCATGGTCTCCTGCCCAATTAGAATCTGAAAAACCTGTTAGGTTTAAGTTGCCAGAGTTTAAAATGTGCAAGCCATAATCCTTTGTCCCAACCAAATATCTTAAGATCCTCTTAACAGCCTTCCAATGAGTTAATAAGGGACAAGACATGAACTGACTCACCTTATTGACTGAGAAACTGGTTTCTGGTCTAGTGATTGTGGCATATTGTAAGGCCCTAACCACCTTCCTGTACAAGGTTTCATCAACATTAGACTCTCCTTCAAACCTGGAGAGGTGAAGAGAAGAAACCATTGGTGTTGGACAACTCTTTGCTTCTGCCATGTTAACTTTGCTCAGAATTTGTTGAATGTAGTTTGCTTGACTTAGGTGCAAGCCCTGTGTGGTCTTAGTCACTTCAATTCTCAAAAAGTGCTGAACTTCACCAAGATTCTTTAATGAGAAGCTTTCCTTTAATTTGTTGATGATTGAATCTCTCAGATGTGGACAATCTCCTGTTATTAGAATGTCATCCACATAAATCAGCAAGTAGACTATCTTTTTCCCTTGATTCAACACAAATAGAGAGGTATCAGCCCTTGAGTTTCTGAACTTCATACTTGTCAAAACTGATTTGATCTTAGTGAACCAGGTTCTTGAAGCCTGTTTTAAACCATAAAGAGCCTTTGATAATTTGCACACCAAGTTTCTGTCACCTTGTTCAAAGCCATAGGGCTGCTTCATGTAGATATCCTCCTCAAGATCTCCATTCAAGAAGGCATTGTCTACATCCAAATGTTGAATTGGCCAGCCATGAGTAGCTGCAATTGTCATCACCACTCTTATAGTTGTAGACTTTATGACTGGGCTGAATGTATCTGAAAAATCAAAACTAGGAGCTTGTGAGAAACCTTGTGCAACAAGCCTTGCTTTGTATCTTGATATAGATCCATCCGAGTGTCTTTTGATTTTGAACACCCATTTGTTGCCAACAAGATTCTTCCCTTCTGGCAGTGGAGTTAGTGTCCAAGTTTTGTTCTTAATGAGTGCATTGTACTCAGTCTCCATTGCCTTTTTCCACTTGTCATCCTTCAAGGCTTCAAAAGGTGAGATAGGTTCTGTGTTCTGGAGTGCAAGGTTATAGATCTTAGGTTTGTAGACACCAACCTTTGACCTTGTCACCATAGGATGTTGGTTCATTTGGTGTTGACTTTCTACTTCAGTAGTTGAGTTTTGATGGTCTTCAGAAATTGGCAGGTCAACTATTAGAGGTATAGTTGAATAGCTTGGATTTCCACTTGAGGATCTTTGCTCAATGAGAGGTGACCTGACAATTGATGGTGTTCTATTCACCTGGACTGCTTCTGTGGATTTTTCTTTGCTGCCATTTTCTCTAGTACTTTCAGTGCTGGTTTTGAGAAAGTCTTCAAGAATTGGCAGAGCTGTGGTATGAACATCACTTCTTACTTCTGCAACACTCTTTTCTCTTTCAAGATAAGGAAATGTCCCCTCATCAAAAACCACATTTCTTGTGATAATGACCTTCCTTGAAGGCAGCATGACCTTGTAACCCTTATAGTGAGAGTTGTAGCCAAGGAATGTGCTAGGCTGAGATCTAAATTCCAATTTATGTTTGTTAAGTGGTCTGATGTGAGGATAGCATAAGCAACCAAACACTCTCATTGAATTATAATCTGGTTTTCTTTTGTACAACAACTCAAATGGTGATGTGTAGTTCAAACCCTTTGCTGGTAGTCTGTTTATAGTGTAACAAGCTGTGATGAAGGCTTCATCCCAAAACCTTGCAGGAAGTTTAGCATGATGTAACAAGAATAGTCCCATCTCTACAAGGTGTTTGTGCTTTCTTTCAGCAATCCCATTTTGCTGAGGAGTGTATGGGCATGAGATTCTATGTTCTATGCCACAGTCATCAAACACTTTGGATAGAGTTTTAAATTCTGTCCCTCCATCAGATTGCGCTCTCTTGATCTTACAGTTAAGTTGATTCTCAGTAAGATTTTTAAAGTGTAAGAAAGCTCCATGTGTTTCAGTTTTGTTCTTAAGCAAGTATAACCAAACAAATCTACTAAAATGATCAACAAAGATAGCATAATACACATATCCATTTGTTGATTTAACTGGTGCAGGTCCCCAAAGATCAGTGTGAATTAATTCAAGAGGAGAATTATAAACAGTTTCAGAAGAAGTAAAAGGAAGCTTATGGCTTTTTGAAACTGAACAAGAATCACATAAACCAGAAATGTCATTAACAGAATAAGGACAATTACATGCCTTTAAGGCCTTCTCAACTATTTCTAGGCTAGCATGGCCCAACCTTTGGTGCCAAAGTTCAAGGCTAGGTGTCCTTTTAAAAGAAATAGAATTAACTGAAAGGTGTTCATTATTCAATGAAAAGTCTTTTGCTGGGTTCTTCAAGCTTGAGATTGGATGAAGGTTGAAAAGGTAGAGGCCATCCTTAATTGTCCCCCTGAGAAGAGTGGCTTGAGTGGCTTGATCTTTGACAAGGCTAAAAGAAGGATATAATTAAAAAAAAACATTGTTGTCAAGGGCAAATTTCGACACACTGATCAAATTCTTAGTAACTGAGGGGACATGCAACAACTCTTTTAGTAGAAAAGTCTTGTTGTTATTTAAAGGCTTAAGAAGTGCATTACCAATGTGGTTTATAGGAACTCCTGTGCCATTTCCCACTTGAAGTCTGTTTTGGCCATTGTACTCAAATGCAATGCTCATGCTTCCAAGTTCATTGGTGACATGCATTGAGGCACCTGAATCTGGATACCAAGTGCCTTCACTTCCAAATTCTGAGGGAGTTAAAGAGCTTGAGTAATGAGTGAGGTTAAGTTATGAATTTTTGTTTCCTCCTTGGTGAGTTGCCTGTTGCTGAGGAGAGTAGGTTTGATCAAACCTATACCAACAACGATCTGCAGTGTGGCCTGAGACCCTACAGACTTGGCAAGTAGGCCTACTTCCATGGAACTTGCCTCTATTTCCTCTATTGTTGTGTCCTCCTCTGAAACCTCCTCTAGTTTGTTCACTGGAAAAGTTTCTCCTTTGATTGTCTTGTGTTGCAGTGTTGACAGATGGCTGAGAACCCTCATAGGCATTAGTCATGATTTTGGTGTTGACTTCCAGTCTGGTTTCATAGCTGAGGAGCAAAGCCTGCACTTCAGTGACAGTGTATGGCTCTATCCTGGAAGTAACTGAGACCATCACCGGGTCATACTCACTGCCCAAACCACTTAAGATGTGAATGTTTTTATCTGCTTCCAAAACAGGCTGTCCAGCTGAGGCAAGATAGTCAAAGCAGATTTTCATTTGGTTTAGGTATTGAGACATGGTAAGACTGTTCTTCTTCAAACCTTGTAGCTACATTTTGTATTGCATCAATTTTGTTGTGGTTTGGCTGGCAAAGCTTGTTTGAAGAGATTTCCAGATCTCTCTGGCTGTGTTGAGGCCAACAGTTTGAATGAGGATGGTTTCACTGAGAGAAGATAGAAGCTAAGATGCGAGTAGCTGATCTTGCCTCTGCCATAAAAGAAATTCTTGATTTACCTCTTGTTCCTGGGAGTCTTGGTTGAGGATAAACTGAGATGGAGGAGCAGCTTCTTCAGTGATAAATTTTTCGAGTCCATAACCTCTGATGGTTGTAAGGACTTGCTGTTTCCAGATCAGGAAGTTTCCTTCATCGAGTTTGGTGGATATTAGCTGGCTTTGAGGAAAAATGAGAGCTGCAGGGGCACTAGATGGTGGGTTTTGAACTATGTGCCCAGATCCCGTGCTAGAATGACTACCTTCTGCCATTGAGGAAGAAAGTAGATGATGACTTTACCAAAAGGATGAATCACGGGTCATAAAGACCTGCTCTTGATACCATGAAAGCAAAAGAAGAAAATCACAGTGCACAAGAAACGGGAGCAGCTACATGTTTGCCCAAAGTGAGTGAACATTCATTGCATTAGCTAGGGTTTTACAGTTGCTATTTAAATGAAACAAAGTGTACTCAACTCTCATCCTCACTGTACATTAAACTACTGCACATGCACGTGACATTTTCTGAAGAGAGTTGCATGGCGCCACAGTGTTAAGGGGCACAGCTGTCATTTCCTTCTTGCATGAATGAGTATCTCGTGTTGGTGGTGACATGTACATAGCCATGTTGACTCCATTTACTTGTTCCTCACTCTTGACTTGTCTAACATTTCGTCGAGTAAATCATATCTTAACGCATCAATTAATCAAACAAAGTCCCATAACTAGCTCAATTGTTTGTAATAAATCATATGCGCAACAAATGATAACAAAAGCGCTTCTCAGTATCAGGTGACTTAACAGCATCACCCGACATATATTTGAATCAAGTAACCTCTCATTAGAATTGTCTCGTCGAGCAGAATCCACTCTCAAAACATCATCTTAATCAATGTCAATTTACCTGCTCAATTGTTTGTAAACATTTTCATATGCAACAAATTTTCACTAAATTACTATTGTCTTTCCAGTGAATTTTCGGCATCTTCTAATTCCATTTCAATCCGATGATTGACTGTTGGACTCATCTCACCAATTAGATTCTACCCTCATAAAAAAGTTTCATTTACTTATTGAATTCTTTGTAAACATCCTCTTGTACAAAATCTTACTAAAATTGTTGTCTTTTGAGTGATTTTTCGTTTTGATGCGACATCCAATTCGGTCGGGTGACCTACCATTAGATTCGCCTTGTCGTTTGTATATTATCCATAAAATACCATCACAAACAAATTCTTTCTACTCCTCGAATTTTTCGTATAACATTTCTTGGGCATAGATGGCAATTTTAGGGGTGTTGCCCATTACGGACCAATTTCAGCTATGAAAAAAAATAGAATGACAAAGTGTTAAAGTTTCCGGCCACATCAGATGAATATATCTATTGTGATTAATTTGACAACTTACTGTATCGAATTTGATCAATGTATCTTTTTTTAGACAACAACCATTTTTTTTTTAATTTTCTTTTTTTTAATAACTTGATTTAACCTCATAAATATATAAATTTTCTTCAAAGTATTACGAGCATCATATTTTTGCCTGTCATTCATCTAATTTTGTATGAAAATTACATAAATAAAATACAAATGAATATATATAAATTTTCTTCAAATTATGGCCAACATCATATTTTTGCCTATCATACAACTAATTTCATTTATGAAATTTTAATTAATAAAATACAGATGGATTTATTGTTAGAAGTAAAGCAAACACTTGCTACGCAAAGAGTAGAAAATATCGTGGCAGATGCTACCTAAAGCGCCACGCTGGCAATTGCAAAACAATTTGCAAGAAAGAAAAGTTCAAAGGCGGCTTATGCTCACGTACGTCTTGCTTTTGCTGGAAAAAATGCCACCCTTTGTTCAGATCTCCTCCTTCGCCTGAAATTGGTTCACCAGAGTTGAGTCCACCGGGGAAGGTAAAGGCGGTAGTCTAAGATGGATAACAGGGGAATGTAATTACCAATGGAAAAAAGACCAGCAATATTTACCATGCAATTTATGTAGTTTCAATTGATTATGCTGCAATAAATTCAAGAACCAATAAAAATATACGAAATTATAAATGAACTGTGGTTGAACCAGTGTTTTGAGACCCGGACCGGCCCGGCGGGTCGACCCAGAGCCGGAACCGGTCCGGGTGGAGTATTTGGACCGGAAAACCAAGGACCCGGTCAAACCCGGTCAAAACCCGGCCGACCCGGGGCATTGACCCGGCCGGGTCAACCCGGTTGACCCGGTCCATATATATTTTTTATATTTTTTTTTTTTTATTAAAAATAAAAATATGTATATATGTTTATATGGTAAATATTTATCATGAAATACATATTATTAACACTTTAATATACAAATTTTATACACAAAACATTTAGTTTGTTACTTTTATGTATATTTATATAACAAAAATACTCTATATATAATTTTAAATTTTTTTAAATTAATTATTCGGTTCAGCAATTGACCCGGTGACCCAACGGTTGAACCGGTGACCCGGTGACCCGAGGACCTGCCCGGGTCGATCACCGGGCCGGGTTTCAAAACTATGGGTTGAACTACTTACTTGTTTTGTGTAAAAATCAACACCGCCTCAAACAAGCGTCCAAATAGTCTTGTAACTTCGATCTGCATGTGGATATTTTAGCAAGTTGATCATAAAATCTAATTTAATTAATTTTTCATGATAAATGTTGGGACAATGCTAGAATTCGTAGCACCATTAAGTCTTTTATTTTTTTTAAATAGGACAATAGTTGTACCCCACTTACTCGAGACCTATTGGTCTGAAGTGAAGAGTGCTACCAACTGAGCTACCCCTTCTCGTCAGTATCATTAAGTCGGTTAGTGCACCGATATATATATATATAGGGATTGGTTCCAATGCATCCACTTATTTAAAGTGAGGACGTAAGACTCATTTTTAGCCACAAGATTTGGTACATATCATGTGTGGCCAAGGTTTACTCTTTTCTTTTTATTATTTTAATTATTTAAATATTATTTTGACCCGTTGACTCTGGCGTTGGACGTTGACTCTGGCGTTGACCGTTGACTTCCGGCGTTGACCATTGACTTCCGACGTTGACTCCGGCATTGACCGTTGACTTCTGGCGTTGACCGTTGACAACTAACCTTCCAACTAGGCTAGTTCTCTGTAGTTGCTAGGTTAGTTCTCTCTAGTTGCTAGGTTAGTTCTTTGTAGTTGTTACGTTATTTTTCTGATGTTGCTAGGTTAGTTGTCTGTAGTTGCTAGGTTAGTTGTCTTTTGTTGCTAGGTTATTTCTTTCTTGCTGCTAAGTCAGCTGTCTTTTGTTGCTAGGTTAGTTATCTTTAGTTGCTAGGTTAGTTGTGTTTTGTTGCTAGGTTAGTTGTCTGTTGTTGCTAGGTTAGTTATTTGTAACTGCTAGGTTAGTTGAGTTTTGTTGCTAGGTTAGTTGTCTTAAGTTGCTAGGTTATTTTTTTCTTGCTGCTAGGTTAGTTGTCTTTTGTTGCTAGGTTAGTTATCTGTAGCTGCTAGGTTTTTTTTTTTTAAACAAACAACGCCCCAAGAGGGCGGGGGATTGTGCTGGATCTCCAACCTGACCCCAAAACGGGGGCCCAAAATATCAACAGTCTACAAGGTCTCACAAGCAAAAAAATAAAGGGAAATTTTCACCTTTACTACTCGTTTTTGAAATATTTGCACATTTACCACTCCTACTAATTAAATTGTGTTTATACCTAAAAAATAAAAAATAATTAAAGTCATGCCTAATATCAGTTACACGATATGGAACAAACTTTCCATGTTTCTAGCCCATAATTTCAGCTCTCAATCTTGGAAGGATATCAGTTAGATATCATATTTCAAACTTTCCATGTTTCATTATCACATCTCATATATAGTCGTAGTGCTGCTATTGAACAGGTGAAAGTATATGTGCAGTATATTTTGGTATTTGTTCATGGAAATAAAATGCGTAGTTTTAATATATTTGGTTTATGTTCAGCAGTTGATTTTTATTGTGCAGCATAAGTATATTTTTAGTTTATGTTCAGTATATTTTTAGATTTTTATTGTGCAGCATAAGTATATTTTTAGTTTATGTTCAGTATATTTTTAGTTTATGAACCACATCAAACAAAGACTTGGATCCGGATCGGGCCTGGAGTTACTGCTCCCGCACGGTGATCTTCTCAGGCCGGTGAAGGCTGACGAGGAAGGCGGTTGAATCAACAAGGACAAAAGAAAAAAAAATAAAAAATAAATAAGAAAAATTAACAAGAATTAAAACTGGAGCTTCAAGGGATTCTATCATTGAGCAGAAAAAGGCAAACAAGACAGAGGGAAGAGGGGATTGAAATGGCGCAAGCTGCAAACTAAGCCCCGACCACAACGAGGACGGAGATCTGAGCCCGCCGCTAGGCCCGGCCTTCACTCCATCCGAAATCCCAGAGACCGCCATGGCGACATAGATTTTGGGAGAAGCGCCATCAACGACCGACATGGATCCTCAGGCCTGATAGAATTGATGTCGCGGAAGCATCGAGAATCGAGCATCATGTAAATCTAGAGAGAGGTGGGGTTTAGCGGAGAGAAAGCAAGGTTTGGAGAAGAGAGAGATATGAGGGGAGACGATAGATCGGGCTTGGCGAGAAAGCAAGATCCGGAGAGGAGAGAGATGAAGAGAGACGATGGATAGAATTTGGCGAGAGAAAACAAGATCTGGAGAGATATGAGGGGAGTTACCATGTAAATAAGAATGAGAAATTATCATGTAAATAGGAAATCAGATTTTTAGCCATATATGCAAATAAATATAACATATTTCGTTATTCTACAAATAATTCTATAAATAATTATATAGAAGATGTAATTATGTAACATTTTCAGATTTTCCAAGTGGAGGATGTAAATTCCTCAAAAATAAAAGGAAAATACAAAGTCTGTCTACGGGCTAACAGGTGCCCGAAAATAAAAATGAAAATCTAATCAAATGAAAACAATAAACATAATCTACTGAAAACGGAAACATGGATATCTAAGCTGGTCCATCCGTACAAGCGTGCGAAGGTAGAGTGGAGCAGTGTCGGTCTGGAACGTATATGTATCGGGTATGGTGGTGCCAAGGATGGCAAGGTAGTCAGCAGGTCTGTTCCCCTCACGAAAAATGTGCGTGATCCTGTGATGGACAGACCGAAGTAGAGCTGTAATGCGCATAAGCGGGTGCTGAATCTGCCACGAGCCTGATGGCCCGAAGTCAGGAGGGTGGCGACGGCCGCAGCATCCAGCTCGATCCATATATAACTAGAGAGGTGGACAGCAATCTGAAGGCCAATCTGTAATGCCTGAATCTCTGCATCGTAGTTCGAGGAGGCCTTAAGGGGCGCGTGGAAGGCGGTGATGATGGCGCCGCTATGGTCCCGGATCAAGCCTCCTCCTCCGGTAGCTTTGGTGTGGTGATCAAAGGAGCCATCAGTATTCAGCTTGACCCACGGAGAGTTAGGTCGAAGCCAAACAACAGCTCTGGGCCGAGGGGGCCGAACAGGCGGTGGGAAAGCCACCATGTAGCGGTGTGGCGGTGTGCAGCCTGTCCAGTCTCGGGCCGTGAGCCTGCCCAATGCTATGAGGAGTGAAATGTGTCTCTCTACCTGCAAAACAATGTGAGAAAACAAAAAAGTAATATCCCTATGTTTCGCACTATTCCTCTCTGTCCAGGTGAACCAAAGGATCAGACAAGGAATGAGGAAGCCCACGTGTCTAAGGTGTGTGCTCTGTGAGAAAAAACTCAGGAGCTCAAAGAAACTGTCTGTGGTGGGTAGTGATATATGTGTCCAGGTGGCAAAATGCTCCCACACTCTCTTCACAATCTCATCTAGAAAAAAGGTGGGTAAAGGTCTCGGTCTCATGGCGTCCAGTTTCAGAACAACACACACACCGAGAGGGGAAGGAGATCCCCCTCGCGAGTAACACAGTGTCTACGGGTATCCAGCACAAGAGGAGGTGCCAAAGGAATACCGAAATGGTAGATGTGAAAAGGTCGCTCCAGATAGCCCCGAAGAGAAGATTAGGCCGATCACTCAGCCTGATCTGCTCCCAAGCCGATGTAGTAGAAAACACACCCGATGATGTAAGTCTCCACCTCATACTATCTGAACTGTCCCTCGAGATAGGGATCTGCTGGATCTGATTAATAAATGCTCGCTAAAACCCGCACCACAAGCCAACTCCCTATCTAGCTTCCCCCTATCCCACGACCCGTCCGTCCAAAGGTCGCTCACAAGCAGGTAAGGGGAATGCGACACCTGTCTATCCCTCGACAATGGCCTATCACCTATCCACCACTCATCCCAGAAACTAACCTCGCCCTCGCCCAAAACCCAGAAGGTGTGATCCTGGGCGCGCCTACCGACCCTAGTGAGGCGCCGCCTCTGTCTGCTATCATGATCGACTGCCTTCACCCAACAAGGGTGGTTGGCACGTCTAGGGGAGTACTTGCCGCGAAGGTATTGAGCCCAAAGCGACTTTACCTCCCTGAAGCGCCACCACAACTTGTAGGAGAAAGCTGTAACAATGTCCCTGAGACGGCGGATGCCAAGGCTACCCTCGGGAAGGGGGCGGTAGATAGAGTCCCAACTCACCCAGTGGGTACGTCTCCTCCTCCCTGAACCATCCTCATAACCCCAGAAATAACGAGCCATAATTTGGTCTCGTCAAGAGTAGACCTAGGGGGGTCGAGGACCATAAGTAAGTGAATCGGAAGAGAGCTAAGAGTGCTATTGATCAGCGCAAGCCGACCACTGAAAGAAAGATGTCTATGCGACCAACCAGAGATCCTGCCGATCATCCTCTGCCTGACGCCGGCAAAGAGCACTCTGGTGAGGTTGCCCTCATGTAAAGGGACCCCAAGGTAGGTAATGGGAAGGTCGCCACGCGCAAAACCAGTAATGTCGTGGATCCGTTGTGCCCACCTGTCCGCGGTGGAAGAGGAGAGGGTGAAGGTGCTCTTCTGCACACTGACCGGAGACCAAGCCATAGTGCTACAGAAGGCGCATAAGCTCGACGAGTCCATCACCATCTGCCCAGGTGAAGATGATGATGCCATCCGCATAAGAGAGGTGGGAGATGGTAGGACCATAGCCACGGGTGCTATAGGTCATATAGGGAGAGTCGCGGATGAAGCCGTCAAGGCAGCGAAAGAGGTAGTCTGCCGCAAGAACGAAAAGGGAAGGGGAAAGGGGGTCGCCCTGTCTAAGGCCTCTAGAGGAGGGAAAGAAATCGGTGGGGCTGACATTAACCAGGACCGAGAAAGTGCAGTGCTCCACACACGCCTCCACAAAGCGGATCCAATGCTTAGGAAATCCCATCCTAGCCAGTGGCTCTCTAAGAAACGTCCACTCAACCCTATCATACGCCTTAGCCATGTCTAGCTTCAGTGCGATATTCGGAGCCCGCTTCCAGTCCGCACGGGAGATGTCGTGGATCATCTCCTGGGCCAGAAGGATGTTATCACTAATGACCCGATCCTTGACGAATCCACAAGCTAATGAGGGAGGGGAGAAGAGGTGAAAGGCGGCTGTTAAGAATCTTCAAAATGAGCTTGTTGGTCACATTACACAGGCTAATGGGCCTGTAATCGGACCAAGAGCTCGGATTGGGTCTTTTGGGGATCAAGACGAAAGAGGTAGACGTGAAGGAGTTCGGCATCCAGTGACCGGAGAAAAAATCCAACATCGCCTCCTCGACGTCAGTCTCGACTAAATCCCAGCAGACCTGGTAGAAGAGAGAGGAGAAACCATCCGGGCCATAAACGCTGTTGGGATCAATCCCGAAGACAACATCCCTAACCTCCTCCTTACTCGGGAGCTCACAGAGTCGAACGAGATAGACCGAAGGAGGGATGGTGGGGAAAAAAGTAGCGGTTGGGGCCACGAGGGACCCTCTGTCAGAGGTGAAGAGGGTCTGGAAGTGAGCAACAACCGACTACTGAATCTGAGCTTCCTGGGTCAGGGATGACCCATCAGCCTCGATACTATGGATGTACGACTTAGCACGCTTCTGCCTAATGTAGCCCTAGAAGAACCTAGTGTTCCGCTCGTCTTCGGCCATCCAGCGAATGGCCGCCTTCTGCTTCCAGAAGTCCTCCTCCATAAGGAGTCGGAGCTAGTACTCGGCGTGGCAGCGGTGCATCGCAGTCCTATTCTCCGGAGTGAAGTCCGGGTCATAGGCCCGCTCGGCCATCGCGTGCGCACTCTGAGCAGCAGAAAGGCACTGATGAAGGTTTCCAAAAACATCCTAGTTCCACTGTCTCAACCGACGCCGCAGTCTGTCGAGCTTCGCCTCGAGATTGCGCATCCCGAAGAGCCCAGTCAGCTGAAGCCAGAAATCCCTGACAGTGTCGTGGAAGGAGTGGTGGCGAAACAACATGTTCTGGAACCTAAAGGAAGAGCGGCGGGGGGTGCTCGAAAATCGGCACCGGATGAGAAGGGGTGAGTGGTCAGATCCAAATCGAGTAAGTTTTGTGACGGTCGTAACCGCAAACACCTTCGCTCACGCCTCTGAAACCAAGGCACGGTCGAGCCTTTCTTTGAGTCCGTCCCGCACCCACGTGAAGCGCTCACCATCACATCCAGCGTCAATTAGCTCACAGTCCGCCACCGCTTGAGCAAAATCCCACATCTCCCGTGACCGGTCCGAACGGCCACCCACACGCTCATCGGGATGCAGAAAGATGTTGAAATCGCCACTAACCATCCATGGCAATCCCTCCATACTCTCGGCAATCTCACGCAGGGTGTCCCAAAGGTCATATCGCCCGACCCTAGTACACTTGGCATAAACCAAGGTGTGAAAAATGGGCTCTGGGAGGTGGGCAGCGGAAAGCTCAACGTGAAGCACCTGATCGGTGTCGCGGAGGACCCGACAAGTGTAGTCACGCGAGTGAAAGAACCAGATCTTATGCG